GCGGTGAGTTAGCTGACACAGCATTTCTGCCTGGAATGTGGCCTTGACAGGAAGCTTTTTTTACATTCCCTGCGAGGTTGATAACACTGACCAAGTCTTTTTGGGATCACTCAGATAAGTGTTACTCATCTCAATCCTTTCTAGGGCAAATACATCTATGAACGTGGGGCTCGCAGCGGAAAGCGTGTTCAAGCTAATATGGGAGCCAAATGCCACGGAGTGGTTATGCCAGACTGTAACAAGGAACAAACAATTAACCAGGTGCTTATCAAGTTACCTATTTAAAACAATCTTCAGCAAATCAGTCAGGAAGCTAGGTTCCTCATCCTTCAGGTGATTTCTGGTTGTTATGGAATGGCAGGAGAGCGATGCATGGCGCTAACAACGGCCATCCTTGTCGGGGACGCCCGTTCTTGGATACCCGACATCGTCGAGAAGGCTAAGAAGCTCGTCGTGAACGCAGGTCTACCATAACACTCGATAGCGCTCAGGGATCTTTTCTATAACATAGAAACAAGCGAATTTAGTATAGCACTGAGAAACGTTATTTGAAAGAAATGCAAACTTCGAGTCAGTTCAACTTTCGATTTTTGGTACTGAATGTGGCCAAAGATCATTAGTATGTGATTAAAATATGCGGAGACATTCCTCTGAGGAAGAGGTCTCGTAACAGTAGTTAACAAATTCAGGGAAGAGCTACTGACCTTCTAAAGCTGAAGGCGCAGTTCACGATAGGTACTTATTCTTCAGATTTTTTTTGGGATAAAACTGTGACCCCGAAGGATGCGCAACGGACACTGAAGGGTCGGAAAACGGCTAGACGAGAGTAACAAAAGCCCTAGAAGTGACTTGCCCTACGTACACACTCATAGGCGAACGAGTTCTCACGCTGGAGAGGTTTACGCATTTGCTCGCAGACATTGCACGCAAACAGATCGCTGTAGGCAGCTGTACGCAATGCGCACACATTTGGGCAGCTCGTCCGAAAATCTCTTTCATGCAACTTTTGGTTCATATTCTCGTCCAGGCCCTCATTTTACTACATTTTTGAAGCCTTATATTTTTCTAACACGCCCATTTTTGGTTTTGTTCGCGCTTTTGCGAAGTTCTGAACCTTCCACTATTCGTCTAAAACTATTTAGATGCCACAAAATTATCGGGAACTGCACCTTCGAAGCAAATAAAGGTTACATGCTCTGGAATTTAATTCAGAACACGTTTGAGCCACCCAGTGATCGGTAATATCTTCAATGTAAAATTACGGGTTATCAAATTATGGGGCTTGTACTCCTGCTCGTTGTTTGAACAGCACTGTATAGACAGTGCAATGGAATGCGCATAAGTCAGCCACGCCACGAAGAAATAGATCTTCAGCCTTAATGATCGTGATCGTATCCCAAAATACCTTTTTCCGCGCTTCTCCTACAGCTTTCACCTGGATTCAAAATTCTTTAGGATGGAAGCCAGAGACGGATGTTGGCCCACTGATATCGAAAGCGGCAAAGCAGCGCTGTGTTGGTCTCATTAATAGCGCGAAGAAGGTTCGTTTTCCGAAAAGTTCCCATTCCGGCATAGTAGGTTGGTCAGAACTAAATTATATGAACTGTGTAGGAGGGCGCTAATGTCGTGCTTGATGGAAGTAACCTCGTAGTTCCCGGTTTCGAGAACGGTAACTTTGTTGGTGCGACAGTCATCTCAGGAGTCAAGACAAACATGACATGCTATAAGGTTTGCTCAGAAAACCTTGTACAATTATTACCTTATCTAATTTCTTATTTTGGGTAGCTACTTGAGTGGTTTCCTTTAAATTCGGATAGATTCGATTTCAGGAGGAGATTTTCGGGCCAGTTTTGCTCATCATGGAAGCGAAGAACCTGGATGAAGCCATTGAAATCCTCAACAACAACCCTTACGGAAACGGAGCAGTCGTTTTCACGTCGAACGGAGCCACTGCCAGAAAGTACGCTTTCCGTCCCTTCGATTGTGTGCTCGTAGAAACATTGAAAATTTTTTAAAATATCAGGTTTGTAAACGAAGTGGAAAATGGCCATATCGGTGTGAACGTACCCGTCCCAATTCCCTTGCCCATGTTCTCTTTCACAGGATCACGCGGTTCATTCAGAGGTGACCTGAACTATTACGGGAAAGTAAGTGGTGTTGGATTTCCTCACAAATGAAAGAAAGCGAGTTGTTTGAATTCCAGGCTGGTGTTCATTTCTACACACAATGGAGGACTGTTACGCAGTACTGGAACCAGTCCCTAATTCAGTTTTAACCATGACTGTCCTTTCGCCAGCCAGCAGAAGTTGATATAATCTATTTTTCGAACCAAGCGTGGCAGTGTCAAGTCCACTGCTTTGTTTTTACGCATACACTTCACTATCATATCGGGATTTTTTTATTTTATGCGATATAGGCTATAATAAATTAAATTTTACCGTTTGGTCTCTGCACGCTTCTCTCATCGAGGATGAATCTCTTCTGCCTAACGTGTTGAAGTTTCCCAACTTCTCCTCATTTTCCATTATCCGTGCTTTGCTGAAACAATATTATGAAGTTGTTCTTATTGCGCCGCCAGTTCTCGTGCATGTTCCGACCCCAAGATCGGAGTTCCTCTGAGCTCACATGTGCTCTGTCCATCTCTCAGCATCAATCTCGAACTTGATCCGGCCCCTTCGAGTTCTTCTTCATCTTTTACCTGACCTCGGGACGTTTCACTAACACTGGCAGGCATTTCCCAGGCGTATTTTTGAGTTTCAAATTTATGTTTCTCAAAAGAAAGAAGACAGAAGAAGACATGGCTGTTTCAGTTAAGGAAACTTTCTTCCATTTATCCTAATCCCAAGAAATTAAATTCACCAGGTATAAGACAAGCAAGGTCACAGGAAGAAAAGCCACCTAGGCGCTTGATGAATTGCTCATTTGTTCATATTTGCTTTATTTTTGTGCGCCGTATTCCACTGTCAGTCAGCATTCGTCCTCAGTAAAGTGAAGTTCAATCTGGTAACAGAATTTTCCGCTTTTTCGGTACACCTTTCAAATGGAAGGTGTTAGTATTTAATTTAGTAAGTACGATCAACGACAGGAAATTCTGGATCCTCCTCCCCTTCTCCCTTCCTCCGCCCCCTCTTCCCTCACGCACATAAATACCGACTCGTCCCAGTACCTTCAATCAGTTGTGCTACCTCCTCGATTTCAATCAATTTATAACGCCCCATACACTTCGACGAGTACTATACTTTTTTCGACTGTAGCCTAAGCAAAAGTGGCGGTTCTTGTTCATAATCTGCGAGCGAATTGAAAGTTGCACCGTATCAATGGTCGTAACCTTCCACTGTCATTACAACTTCTCCCCTTCACAGGAACTATGCGCTATAGGATGCGACCAGCTCGGCTGGCCGTTCGGGTACAAGGACCTGAGCATCTGAAGAGCAGTTGGGAGGATGCACTGTTGACAACATAAAGCGCACACACATTGGCAAGGGAAGTTATCGAAGAGAGTTTATCAAGACAGCCAGAAAAGCTTAATGACAGCAAAAACATTTGGAATAGAATAGAACAAATTGTACTATCCAGTTCTCGGAAGTACGCTGTTGATTTGAAGAACGCACTGGGAGAAAAAGTGACGAAAACTTGCCGGAGACAGGAAAACAATTCTATAAGCCTCTTAGTATAATCGGAAGCTTGAAGGACATTAGTATGCACACAGGACTAATGTTTTCAGCGATACCACCAATCAGAAAAAAGAAAAC